ATAGGCTGTTGATGATGATGATGATGATACAGATAAGTATGTAAATGCAACTGTTGAACAAGTACAACGTGATGATTGTTTTCTTCTGTAACTTGATTGGTAAAGTCATTGTCAGCGTATTGATAGATAAGGAGACCTATACCTGTCCCTTTAAGTTAAATACTCGACTTGGTACCTTTTTTTATTGACTTGGTAGGTTCACGTTTGACCACCATCTCCCCTGGTGGTAAGCGATGATGTGGCCGAAGATGGACCACGCCTACGTATGAGCAACCTGTTCACTTGGGACTTGAAGACACCCAAGATATATTTGAGTTAGAGATACTTATAAGGTTGTGTGTCATCTAAATACAGTATGTGTTCAGATATAGTACAAACATGAAAGGGAAAGGAAGTCTAAAGTACAATTATTCATGAAATTATTTTCACGAATGCCTCCATGGCTATCGGACTTGAAGTTCAACTTTTCTATTCAGTTCAGATTAAAATAACAAAGCAAAGCAACAAAACAGAAATCTCTATATACATCAAAATAGTCCTTATCTTAATGTCAATTAGGCAAAATATTTTCAAAACCATTTAAAAATAACTCCATTAAAATAAATTCACACAAATCTGGAATGCTATCAAAGGAATTTATCTCAACAACTTTCGACATTTAATACAACAATAAGAAGTTTCGCGGAAGTTAGTTCAGAACACTGCTGCGATGAAATTCGGTACTTATAAATACTGGGTGAGTTCGCCAAGTTACGGGTCGGTGTGAATGACAAATTCCTTTATTAAATTAAATACAGATCATTGGAAATTTTGAAATTTCAACGTAACATAAATATCACATGGCAAACGAGCAGATGGATCGCCTGATGATAAGAAATCGACGCCGCGAGACCCATGGACAATCACTACATTAGAGGATCCACAAGTGCGTTACTGGACTTAAAGGGATGGCGATAGCACCTGATGGAAAACGCTGATGTGGTCAATGTACTTTATATAATACTAGCGACCCGCCCCGGCTTCGCACGGGTGCAATATGCATGTATTATACATACAAACCTTCCTTAAGAATCACTCTATCTATTAAAAAAAACCGCATCAAAATCGGTTGCGTAGTTTTAAAGATCTAAGCATACATACGGACATACAGCGAAAGCGACTTTGTTTTATACTATGTATTGAAGTCCCAATTCTATGTCGTAGGATATGATTCTGTTGATATGTACATACATAAATCTAAACGCTGAAACTGAGTAATTTTCGAAAACCTGACAATAATGTTACAATGCGAAAATAATTTAACTTCACCCAGGAAGTAGTTCAATAATTTTTTAGTATTTTCCCAATCCCAGAATTCATCCCAGAACTTGTTTTAATGTTTCCCGAAGGCTTTCTTATGTTATGTTGCATTACAGTTCTTTTGTTTCCAAAAATAACTTGGATTGCCAAGTTGGGTACTTTGTTTCTTTTAAGAAATATCTTATGATCAAGTTTATATAAATCTTATATACTTTTTATTCTTAGATGAGGAAATTGGAGCACCTATTTTTGGACAATATTACTGTTATTACGAAGGCAATAAAAAAGTGTAATACAAAAGCCCAACGCGAAAATTTTACCTGTACAACAGTTACAGTTTGAACCATCGGAGCATTTCAGGCTTTCAGGAATTCAGGCATTCAAAACCACTGAAAACGTACTTTTGTTTATTTATAACACTTTGATGGAATTTTAAGTCTATAGCCTACTAAAATTTATCACATAACCAATTTGGATAGACCTCCCAATTTGTTTTCACAATCCTTTGATGATCCAGATTTTGTTCGGTTGAAAGGGGTGTGGGAGGTCAAGGTATTATGGCTGTGATTTTAGAGTGAGGACAGAATCTGCGGATTGTTTGTTTCTCAGCGGTTTATGGTAGTAGATAATGGGGGCGTAGGAACTGCAGATGGGTCTTGATTGAGGCCATGAAATGTGCGGAAAGAATTTAGTTACGGGTTGAAGGAATATTTAAGTGTATTGGTCGAGTGGTCGAAGTATTTGCTAGGTACAAAAATTCTTGTGTAGCTTCCATGTCAAAACACAAGACTGTATCATGTTGTCGTTAGTAAAATACCGGCGCACAATATTGTGCTTGATTTTCTCTGAATTTACTGTTATTACACTTGTTATATTCACATGTTGTGCCTGGGATAGGTATTTTTTTTTCTGGAGTTAGAAATTGGCATATTGAGACCCCGTTTTGGCAGTTATTATCGCAACTAACACAAAACTTACTCATTCTGAACCAATGAGGCTATCGAGAATCTTCAAATAATTTGTTCTTTAATAATGTCTGTTGTATAAGCTTCCTCTTTTTTCATGGCCCCAACCGCGAGATGTTAGTACATGCCTCAGTCCCGCATTGTTGGACTTTATCTAGAACTTTCTTGTATCTTCTCTGATGTATTACTTGCCCAACAATATTTTGTATAAATATCTGTATTCTCGTTTGTTAAAGAGAATGAAATATGAATCGAATAATTGACTTATCCTATGTGTGTGTGAGTTGTACTTAAAGTAATAGTAATTTTAGTGTGTTAGTGGGATTTTATTGGCACAATTTTTTTTTTTTTTAAGGGCGGAAAATCATCGAATGACTGCTCCCGCCTGGGTGAGGCGGAAGGGAGTGTCAGACTCTTACTGACTAAAAACCACCCCGTTCCTTCTCCTGCACGTCGAGCCGGAGCCCCGGTTACCCGTTAGGTTCTCCGCGACTCCGAATCGGCATCGGCCCCATTGGGCCCCATCTGTGGTGGTCTGATGGCTCTTTGAGGCGCGCGCGGAACGCGACGGGCCTACGCTCGGGTCTGTTTCTGGTCGGACGGGGAGCCACCCATGCTCGCCGTCCGACGGCCCGCGCTTATGGTGGCCGGAGATCGTCCCGCGATCCCCGACGCCCGGTGTGTCCTTCGCGATGGCTGGGTTGCGAGGAGGCAGCGCTTCGCTGCCTCACGCGTCCCGCCTCCTCCTTAGCTAGCATGACTGCTTCGCAAAAGGAGGAGACGGTATCCCAGTCCCCCTCGCTCTGCATCATGGCCTGCACTAGGCCCGGACGCGAGAGGTCGCCATCGCCGATCACTTCCGTGAGGACACGGCGGTGCTCAGCCCACGCAGGGCATTCCGCTACAGTGTGTTCCACCGTGTCCTCAGGGCGGTCCTCGCAGTGATAACACCCAGACGTTTCCTCCCACCCCATCAGACACAGGTACCTCCCGAAACTCCCATGTCCGGTGAGGACCTGCGTCAGGCGGTAGGTGAGGACGCCGTAGCGTCTCTCAAGCCACTCCTCAAAGAGGGGACTTACCGTTGCAATGGCAGCGAGCCCAATTTTATTGGCACTTACCTCATTTCAAATATCCAAAATTATACTTGTGTGTTTTAAACTACACTATTCATAATTCTCCATGAAAGTCAGAAGTTCCGTATCCAAACGGCTAAAGGTTTATTTTTAACGATAGACGAAATAACTGAAAATAAGAATTGAACTACAGCATGGATGGCGAATAAGGGCAGCTCGCCACCAGATCAGAACTAGACCCAAGCGTACGGCGCGTCTGGTTCACGTGCACCTCAAAGAGCCATCAGATCACCACACTTGGGACTCAATGGGGTTGATGCCGATACGTAGCCGCGGAGGAATTAACAGGTAGCCGTGGTTTCGGCTTGAAGTGCAGGAGTAGGAACGGGGTGGTTTTTAGTCAGTAGCAGTCTGACACTCTCACTCACCACCCAGTCGAGTAGAAATTTTACAAGTTTTTCTAAGAAGTAAAAACATATTTCACCAATGGATCGATAAGACGATTTGCTAATGTGCTGGAAGATGTCCAATGTGGTTGCTTTATTGAGAATTTTATCCTTCTCCTGGCTATTTCCCAAATGGGTTAGAGGTCAGTTCAGATGTTAATATATTCGATTGATTTTTAGTTTGTTAAAGACTGTGTTTATTGGTCTAATGTTATGGATTGAAAGCTTAAGTTTGGATGAGGTTTTAGCCAAAATTTATTGAGTTTTTGGTGTTGAAGTACAGTTTCACATCACATCAACAACCTATAAATACCCACTGCTGACCAGAGGCGTCTTTCACAAGAAGGTTTGAGCATTAATCACAACGCTTGTTCAATACAGGTTGGCGATTTTAATCTTATAATTAGAAACTATAAGCTCAGGTTTCCTCACGATATTTTCCTTCACCGTTTGTCAGTGATGTCTAAATAATCTTAGAATGTTCATGTAACTCGGGACTCGTATTGGTACTTGCTGTTGGTAGGTCTTAAACTCTTAAACCTCCGGGCCACCGCAACATTTTTATTCTATAGCTTGGGAAACTAGAATCTTCCTGCCTATTACGGAAATATTTTGCAATGTAACATTTGTCTTCCAACACGACGATGCATGTTTTTACGGATTTCAATTCTTTATTCAGTACAGACAAAAATATTAACATATTGAGTTCAAATTAGATTGCGATAAATACTAATATAATATTAAGAAATAAGTAATATTAATGTTCTAAATACAATGATAACAACGACCATGATTATTATTTTCAACAGTGAACATTTTGTGGCTGATATGACTTTAATGAAAAATTACCTACTATAATTTTGATGTGATTCATCACTGTAAACACGAACAATATACAAAGAGGATCCTTTGTATGAGCAGCAATGAAATGGAAATAAAACAAGTTATTTTTTTAAATTAATTTAATATTTGCAAAAAGCCGTTTAGAACTATTTAGTTTAATTACTAAGAACACTTTTTGGTTTCGAAACCTATTTACAAATTATTTACATTAAAATTACGGATAATAAAATATGGAACAAAATTGATTTTTGTTTTCAGTCGATAAACGTTTTATTACAATCAGAGTAAAGTTTAAAATTTTGATTTTAAATTTATATAAAATATTTATATAACTTATTATGAAATTATACATACATAATTATATACGATTAGTTATTTATCTATTATCGTTTTACATTGTTCGATTATTTCGAAAACTCATACATGGATAAGGAATTTCGAACAGAAATCCTTAAAGTAAACATCATTATAATTATGTATTGCAACAAAACATCACTGTACAAGATCATTCAGCAATGATTATTACTTTAAACTTTAAACGCATAGTCATAAAGTTAAAATTCACTTTCACTTCATTCGGATCAGCATACAAGCACTTAAATAATAAACTATTTATAAACCACTCTAGAACTATTTTCTAGTACAACCATTCTGTTTCTTAATTTGATCTATACAATAATTTAAATATATTATGTACACCTCACAGAATTCTATAATGTTACATCCAGAACGAGGTTGTACCAATGAAAACTAAACATATAACCTTTAAATTAAGGTTCTAATTATAACCAATCTTCTTTAATCATATCAGAAGCCTTCTCAGCTATCATAATCGTGGGAGCATTAGTATTGCCTCTAACAATCAAGGGCATAACAGACGCATCAATTACTCTCAGCTTTTGAATTCCATACACCTTTAGTCTCGGGTCTACGACTGCCTCCTTGTCCCATTCTGGACCCATTTTACATGTCCCTACTGGATGGTAGATAGTAGATGTATACTGGATAAGAATACAAGTATAATATTCATCTGTACCCCAAATATACTGCGAACAAGCTTGGACTGGTATCCTAACATACCTTGCTCCACTGGCCCTGAATGCATCTGTCTCTTCTAAACTTACAGCAAACTTAATTCCGTCTATCAATGCTTGCATGTCTTCTCTGTCAGTGAAGAACCTTGAGTAAATTAAGGGTGGACCATAAATAGGATCAGTGCTATTCAGAAGTATATAACCTCTACTCTTAGGAGTCAGTAATAATGGTCTTGCTGATAACCCATCGTAGAATGCTAAAGGAAATATATTTGTAGCTAAATAAGTTGTAGGGTCTGAGTAAAATTCTCTTACATTTCTACCGTCGAAATGGAATTGTATATTTGGGACATCTTCATGGTAGTATGTGCTTATGAAAGCTGTACCAGTGAGAGTACCAGTGGCTGATAAAGGCCCTCGTTTAGGCAAATGTTGTCCGTAATAACTATGTATTTCATTAACTAGCTGCTGTTCATTAACAGCTGTTGCAGTTTTGTTTGACAAAGCTAAAGTAAGAGCATCAGTTGTAATGTGATCTTGGAGATTAGCACCAACACTCAAATCAGCTAACACAGGTATGTTCAAACTTTTCAAGTGATATTTAGGTCCAATACCAGACAACATCAACAGTTTTGGAGAATTTATCGCTCCTGAGCTTACAATGACTTCTTTATCAGCAAACGCTGTGAATATTTCTCCATTTTTGACATACTCGACTCCATAAGCAGTCTTTGTTATAGGATCTATGAGTACTCTAGTAGCATATGCACTGCTGATTACACGAATATTTGGTCTTTTATATCTGATGGGACTTATATAGGCTTTGTTGGCTGAATTTCGTTGCCCTTGTTTGGTTGTTGTTTGGGCTATATCCGTTCCCATTTGATTTTCTCCATTGAAGTCAGTGATTGGCAGTCCTTTTTCTTTAAAAGCTTGAACTAACATCATGACGTTGACATCGAGATGGTTTAGACGCTCGACGTTGATTGGTCCACCAACAGCGTGGTAGTGAGTGTCGTGAGCTTCTACGTCTTGGTTGTTTTCTGCTTTCTTGAAGTATGGGAGAACCTGGAATAATAGTTGATAATTATATTAAAAATAATCTTTTCACTTGAAAAAGTATTTTATTCATTCATGACGCTACAAAGTTTGGAATGAAAGTAGATAAAATTTTGATTGTAAGGCACAGCTTGGTTTACTATTTATTGCACTTAAATTCAAAAACAGAGTTTCTTCTGTGTAAAATTAGAAAATAAACCTCAAAAAACATACTCTGCCAGTTTAGTTTGAAATTGGATGCAGGAGTCAATATAGTAGAAAATGAAAAAGCCTGTAGACCTATAGAATATATTCCAACTTATAAAAAATTAATTTGCCAAAACAATGGTTGATATATACGACTACCAAGAAAAAAGTTTCGAAGCGATACTGAGTATAGAATATAACACAAACGCCACGCGTTTGGATCTGTGAAGAGGCAGATCACTTATTCAAATTAGTACCCAGTTTTCATATAGGGGTGATACGAAATAATGTAGAATACAAGCCTACTAAGAATTTCGGAAAATCCCATAGCTTGACCTGACCCAGAAATGGGACTTGAAACTTGAAACAGAATTGCTCAATAATGATGTTTTGACGATCCAAAAATGAAACAACGTTACTAAAAATAGAATTAACATTGTTTTAATCTGTGGTATATATATCATGGTTCAAAATGGTCTCTAATAATTTATCACCGTTGTCTTTAACGGCATTATCAACTGACCTCTCTATAACTCCATCCATGGTTGCCAAGTTCTGCCCAACTGTCGTAATCCCTCCTGTTCCCTCTCATATATATCATGTAGTTTATGGCACTCGATCCTCCCATAGTTTTCCCTCTGAAACAGTCATTCCAAAGTTATTTAATTAAATATTACACAGCTTGTATTTGTCAAATTATGAAATCGTTGCTTTTTTGTTTGGTACGTAATGTAATTGTACATTGTGTTATTGTTTAAGCAAATAATATTGTTAAAAATTGGTTTTTACAATAGATTACTCGTATTAAGAAGTGACAGCATGAATCTGTAACTACTTCTATTGTTTTATTTTTGTTACTAAAATTACTTTGACCGTTCTAATTCGTTTTAAAATTTTTCTATTGGAATTTGTGGATTTCATAATTCGACTTACAAGCTTATATTGTTTTGGGGTTAGGTACATGGACAAACAAAAAATTAAGTGCGATGGTGACTAGATACTAAAACACAAAATTACTGAATACAAATAAAAATATATCTAAGACTACAACACGAACAAAAAAATTACGTGATAGACTACGGTGCTCAAAATGAGATCTTAATACTAAAATAAGGTTTAAAACAAACTATAATTACGAGACGACGTAAAACTATGTATTAAAAGTTATATTCTACACAAAAACTACAGTTAATACAACTAAATAATGTAAATGAAACATTGTTATTATTTACGAAAAGATCTGAAAAGTCTACTCTAGAGGGAGATTTCGTGATCTTATAGAAATTATCCTGGAACTTTGAATCTTAAGCTATTGTTACACATACTACTTATAAAGCTACTCAATTTTAAATTGTATTATATTGTGTATATGTAAGTTATATAATATCGTGCTATCTCTGTCATTCTATAGGGAATTTGAAGTGACAGAATTATATTTCAGCGCGACTTAAAATTAAGTGATTTTTGCGTATTTCGACATAAAAAGAGTTCTATTGAGCATACTTAAAAAAAAAATTTTTAAAAGACGAACGCCTATCGATTCGCAAGCATGTCTAAAATGAATGCGCTAATTTTGAGCAACATTCCGACACTCATGTAACTATAATGACAATTAATACTCAATTGAAGCATGCTATGCTATGCTTGAAATTAGCCTGTGTTACAGTACCTTTACAGTCTAAATAGTAGCGTTAGTAACTACTATAGTTCGATCCTGAATCATAATTTATTATTACTCTTTGGCCTAGAATGACCTTACTTATTATAGCTGTCCATGAGAAAGCTAATGACATTGTTAGGTAAGATTATTTATTGATTCTAAGAATGGTATCACGATCGACAAATCCAATAATACTTCATGATGAGCGATCATTATTTTGACCACTACAAGAAGCAATCTGGCAACAAATAACATTAATTTAATTAGAGCTATTGATGACAATAACGACATTATTATACTCATTATGTTATTTACTATTACGAGTATACATAATTAAGCTTTATGACTGAGAAGTCTCGTCTGTATTAAGCCTGAATTCTGTAAGAATATCAAGATAAAAAGAACCCTATCTTAATCTCTGGAAAGTATGCTTTCCATTGTTAAATTACGTCATATCGGTTTAATCAATTAAACAAACAAACAATGAAATCTCCATCTATACTAATATTATAAAGAGGAAAGATTTGTACCTATTTTTGTATGTTTGTAATGAATAGGCAAAAAGTACTGGGCCGATTTAAAAAATTCTTTCACCAATAGAATGCTACATTCTTCCAATTTGACATAGGCTATATTTCATTTTGAAAAAAATTAGTGTATTTGGTAAAATTTGAACAATGTAACCGAATGTGTAGAAAAATGACTCTTAAAATGTCTGTCGTCGAATGCGCTGCCGAAACTATTAGCGATAGAACAAAATAATGTACAACGATATTGAAGAACATTATAATGTCTACAAAAAACTCCGTTGTAGCATATGTCTAACTATTGTAGTTATAGTGAAACAAGTGAAACAAGTGAAACAAGTGAATTTATTTCTGCAAATAGGCTACAAGGCAGCACTTTTACACGTCAATTTTATCAAGCGAACGATGAGGTCGACATTTCCTAACTGACTACTCTGAGAAGAAATGCCGAAACAAACTCAGAGGTCTGTCTCTTTTAAAGTCCAGACAATATGTATAACAGATTATGTGTGAGAACCGTGCCAGTTCTTTCTGTAGTGGGCTTTTGAGGAAAGAACCACAACAGTTTGAGCGGACCCGTTCTGAAGGCAGTACGCATGTGTCGGTTTACAGTCAGCTCAATTAACAGGTGAGGCTGACTGATTCGACGAACAATACCAACCTAAAGAACATTTGCGTGGGTCGCACAAATACTCAAACTGTCAGAAAAAGGGTAATTAGAAAAGAAATGGTGAGGCAAAGTCTCGCACGGTCCTAGCACTAACAATTGTTAAATAAAAAGTAAATGTCAAGTTAGAACAACATATGAAAAACAATGTCACATTAAAACAATAATGTCAAATTGCATATAAAAAAAGAAATGTAACTATATGTTACAAACATGTCAACATGACCTGTGTGGACGTTACAGCAGCTTATTCCCAAGCCAGACTATCATCTAGGTAGTCTTTTATTTTATAATAAGCTTTACTATAAAATTTATCTTTAATGACATTTTTAAATTTATTTAGACTCAAATTTTGGATATGGCTGGGAATCTTATTGTAAAAGCGTATACTCTGACATCTAAACGAACCACTTATTTTCTTTAGTCTAGTAGTGGGAACAACATATTTGTCTTTATTTCTCGTGTTTATATTATGTATATCACTATGTTTTTTAAATAAACTTTTGTTTTTATGAGCATATACTAAATTTTCATAAATGTATTGAGAAGCAACCGTCATTATATTAATTTCTTTAAATAGTTCCCTGAGAGAGTACCTCGGACTAAGATTATAAATTGATCGAATGGCCCTCTTCTGCAGAACAAAGATAGATTGAATGTCAGCAGCATTCCCCCATAAGAGAATACCATATGACATAACACTATGAAAATAACTAAAGTATACTAATCGCGCTGTATCTACATCGGTTAGATTTCTAATTTTTTTAACGGCATATGCTGCAGAACTGAGCCTTTTCGATAACTTATTTATATGTGGAGCCCACTGGAGCTTAGCGTCTAGGGTTATACCTAAAAAGACAGTAGAATCTACAGGGCTCAACTCCTCACCCTTAATGAGCACGCTGGTTTTCACATGTCCAACATTTGGTGTTGTAAATTTAATGCATTTAGTTTTAGTTCCATTTAGTAATAGGTTGTTGGCATTGAACCAGCGTACTATCTCCGAGAGAGCACTGTTCACATTATTAATAACTAATTGTCTACGTTTAAGTTTAAATAATAACGAAGTATCATCCGCAAACAGTACTATCCCGTGGTTATCCCTTACAAGGTAAGGTAAGTCATTTATATATATAAGAAACAAAAATGGGCCGAGAATTGACCCCTGCGGAACCCCCATCCTGACAACAGACCCGGTGGAGACTTTTCCGTTTATTTCGACTCTCTGAATCCTGTTACTCAAGTATGAGGTAAGAAGATCCAGAGATTTACCTCTTATTCCATAATGGGATAGCTTCCTGATCAATGTATCATGAAGGACACAATCGAACGCCTTGGATAAGTCACAAAAAATGCCCAAAGCGTCGCTTGAGTCCTCCCACGCGTCATATATGTGATTAAGAAGTTCAACACCGGCATCAGTTGTTGAACGACCCCTGGTAAAACCAAACTGGTTACTATGTAACAATTTATTTCTATTAAAAAATCTTTGCATTTGATTTAGAATAATTTTTTCAAAAATTTTACTAAATGTAGGTAGTACTGAAATAGGTCTAAAGTTAGTGGGGTCAGAAGTACTACCTGATTTAAATAACGGAGTTATTTTACTATTTTTCATAAGATCAGGAAACACACCGCGGTCGATACAATTATTAAAAATTAGAGCTAATAGAGGTGCTATAATAGCTATAACAGAGCTGGCAATGTACACAGAATTTCCCCACAAATCTGCAGTCTTTTTCTTATTTAAGGTATGGAAGGTTTTGACGATATCTGTACAATCTATGTGTTCAAAAGAGAACCCTATGCTGCAAGCTATAACGTTTTCTTTTAGTAAAGATTCTGCAACAGTGGGAGATGAATTCAATGACTTAGTCGTAGATATAGGAATGTCCGAAAAGAAACTTTCAAATGCAGCTGCAACTTCTGCGTCTGATTTTATTACATTATTATCAATTAGAAGACTATATTCATTACTTTTCTTTTTGGACCTTCCCGTCTCACTGTTAATAATACTCCAGGTCGCTCTGATGACATTGGTACTGTTCTTTATTTTGGAGCTCAAGTACCGCGACTTTGCAATAGCGCAGACCTTTTTAAACAATTTAGAATATTTCCTAACATATACATTAAATTCGATTGTGTTAATAAATGTCCT